GAAGACTTGAGATTAACCCCAGAACCTGTGTAAGAAGATACGCACATTCGTATACTCCCAGGGCTAGGGGATCACTGGCTGGCCAATGTAGCCTTCCTGCTGAGCTCCAGAATCCCAGAGAGAGACTCTGTTTCAAAAAACAAGGTGGCTCGCTCCTGAGGAACTCCCAGAGTTGACTTCACATGTGCATAAGCACACACAGCAAATAAAATAAAACTTTGATATAAAGTCTGTTCTGTAGATCACTTTGTCCCTTGTGGTTCATTGTCCCAACACAATATCTAACCTTGCTTCTTAAGTGGAAAGGGCGTAATGTAGTATTTGTTTGTCTTGCCATTTGTTTAACAAGAGCCCACTGATGCCCATTATGTGCCAACCTGTATTTTAGGGGCAGTGGGAGGCAGAGCAGTGACTGAAATAGATCCCCTCAGAAAGGTGTCATATTTTACTGGAGATGGAAATGAATTGGTAAATTATACAGTGTGTTAGGTGGTGATGGGTGCTAAGAAGATAGCTGTGCTTGGGTGGCCCAGGGGATTCACTGAGAAATAACTGAACCAAGACTTAAGGAGGATGACATCAGCATCTGGCTAGTGCCTTCCCAGAAGCGGGGCCATGTATCAAGGTTCTGAGGAGGAGCAAGCAGGTGAAATTAGGCAAGTGCAGGAGTTCAGTATGGTCAGAGGTCAGCTAGCAAGGACAGGAAATGATGACAGGGGTGACAAGACTAGAGTCCATAAGTCCATAGAGTCCATAAGGGAGCCCTGGCCTATCTGGATACCAGAAATGTGGGAAGGAACTCTCTTGAGCAAATACAAAACAGTAAAGGAGCTGCCCTGGTCCCATCAAAAATATAAATGAACAAATAAATGTGCTTTTATAAGTTTTCCATTTCCCAGCACTTGGGAGGCAGAGGCAGGCGGATTTTTGAGTTCGAGGCCAGCCTGGTCTACAGAGTGAGTTCCAGGACAGCCAGGGCTACACAGAGAAACCCTGTCTCGAAAAACAAACAAACAAACAAACAAACAAAGTTTTCCATTTATAAATGTAAACAATGCCACCTAGTGGCATTATCTCTAGTAACACCAACAAAGTTCTTGGTAAAACATTTTATTCACACACACACACATCACAGCACTTGTAGAGGTCAGAGGACAACTTCTGGGAGTTGGTTTTCTCCTCCCACTTGGGTCTTTATCAGCTCAGACATCTTGCCAGCCCCTTTGTAAAATACTGCATCTAGCAGTTGTATGTAAAAACTAGTTCTTCATACCATGTTGACTTGTATTATTTTTTTATTATTATTAAATGAATCACTCTGGTATGTGAAATAGAACAAGAATTCTTGTAAAAGTACAGAGTTATTCTATGCCCTCCTTTGTTCTGAATAATTACATGGAGACTTGGCATATTTATGAAAAGCTTCAGACACTAAGCTGGTTAGATTTTGAGCTATTCTAACCAGGCTATGCTGGCCTGGCCTACTTCTGAGCTGTGTGGCCCGTTACCTGTCATCTTAGTATAATTTTAGTACCTTTTTCTTCATTCGTGTCCTGATGGCAACTCCCCCTCTTCCACCTGAGACCCTCTCCCTCTCTCTGTCCAGGCACGGAAATCCCACATTATCCTATCCTACCCAGGTATAGTCTAGTCAGCTCTTTATTTAACCAGTCAGGAGATGATACAGAACAATGTTTTAAAAAAAAATACTGAGTCATTCCAAAATCTAGACTGCAGCCAGATCTCTGGGTACAGAAATGAGCACATGAGTACACAGTGCACATGAATCATGGTGCACATGAGTACACGGTGCACATGAATCACGGTGCACATGAGTACACAGTGCACATGAATCATGGTGCACATGAGTACACAGTGCACATGA